TGTACGACCTGGTCACATTGCTTTCCTCACTCAGTCACCCACTCACTACCATTACAAAACTTCATCTTTACCTCCCATCTTTGACATATTAGAACAAATTCAAAATATTCGTCACATTTCATTTCTGTATTATAATCATGCAATAAATCAAGCGTTTATTCCAGCATAAATACCTTTGTAATGACTCACTGTTACTTTGTCAACAGTCAGGTTATTGCCATTTTCACACAAGCATATAAAGAGAAAATGTTTCTACCGTTCCTGTGATAAGACGTGACTGACGAGCTCGGGTCACACTCGGACTTGGATGACACGTTTCATCATACAGTTGCATAATTCGACGTTCATATCGACTGGTCAATCCTCCATTATTCATGCGTCACGTGGGTTGAATATGTCTTTGTTTAGCATGAAACAACAAACAGAATCAGTTATACAAAGTGTGTCCAAGTGTGAGAAATCCAATCGAATGATTCCTCTGTACGTACATGTATTTACCGTCCCAAGTTACTAGGTGTTGGTAGCATGAAATCCCCGTACTTACAAAATGCTCCTCTGACTGAAAGATAATTTCAGTCGGCTTTTGTTGAGCTAATATCAGTATTCGTCGTGACAGTGGCATTGCTTGTTATAGGTGATTAATTCCAAACACGCCGGGAGCTTGAGCTGTCTGATACCAAACCAAAGCCATAACGTTACAAGTCAGCTTAAACTAAAGCATAAGGCGCATGACACGTTCCCCTCAGTGTTGTAATCTAGGTTTCAGAAGACGGAGATCGATGGTATATCCAAATAGCGAAATTCAGGTTATTAGGAAACAGGCGCTTCATGTTTTGCATAGATCTGAAGATCGTATTATTTTGTCATTTAGACATGTCACTAGCAATGAGCTTTTGGAATATATTGTCTATTTTTCATGCTTAAGAACTACATACAGGGACATTCCATTGTATTAAGCCAGACAGGCTTGGAAACGTATACGTATTTCATATTCTACCGCAGACACAACATGAGCTGAAGTCGCCTGTTGTTCGGGTAATTACCTAAGGCTCAGACATTAAGCTTTCAGATCGGTTAAGAAGCGATCGTTATATCTGGACAATACGGAACAGTGACACCTGCATTCCTTCTATCCAAAGTGGAAAAATGTGTGGAAGGAATTACGACCGGGGCGATGGATCCTTTCCTGAAATGACGATGCCAACTTGTTGATCAACGGTATTAACTAAATCAATGTTATACGTACATGATACACAAGACACTGGGTATACGAAGCTACACTACACATAAATAATTAGAGACTTAACGTATTTGTAGGCGGCTTCCGATACGAATACGATTTTTACCACATGGACCTTGACGGGACCGGGATCCCTGAGTACAACATAACACTGAATGTGTCGCATGACGAATTTTCTAAACAGTCAGATTTAGACATTGTACGATATAGCAAATCAGTTTTTCAAAATCTGTTGTTATATATTTCTTTCATCCATTCGAAGTATTTACGTGTTCTTTACTCCAGATCAAGATTTTAATGATTTTGCACATATGGTTTCCTCTGTTGTGGTGCAATTTATGACAAGACTGAGTGAGTGGGTTCAACGCCTCTGTGAACTTTATACAGTATTATTACAGATCAACTGTATATATTTTACGCATTTATATGATTTCAATGTATCTGCACACAAATTTAATACACAAAACTCATTTCAGATAATGTCATGCGGAGGAGTGTTTGAAATATGCTTCAGACAATTCATCAACAAAATACTTTTGCCTCAGGTTTCTCTAAAGAACATTTCATGGACAAGCTTGATGTCCCGAAACTATGTTCAAATCTTGTTTCACACAACATGTGTTCGGCTCAAGATAGTAAGCACATGCATTTCACAGTCCAGATGTAAGCTTCGCATCCCAATCATCAACAAATCACACCGACATCCCAGCGCTCACGCATTTGTTCCTCGTGAACTGGATGTGTGTGTGTGTGTGTGTGTGTGTGTGTGTGTGTGTGTTTCAGGTTCGGACAGCTATAAGGGGTCAAATTGCCGTGTGTTACTATTCATTTTGTGACTGTGACAAGTGTGAACGCTTTTTTATTACCAAGTCCTGCATCTGCGTGTGTAGCTTGCGTAATGTTTGATATTTTGAAACAATTGATTTCCCGATGTGAGACAACAATATTACCCAGCCTTTCTCTGAGACAAAAAATAATTCTAAAAAAATATCACCGAATCATGTCATGATTGAAATTATCGGCATTAAAAGAATTATACAGCCACAGGCCAAACGTCATGCCTGCATGGCACTGAGAAGCTGGTAATCCCTGGTCGACCTTTCGTCTGGGGCTGAATCTACACTTGTCTGGTCAACGGACTTCGCTGTTCAATCATAAAGTTTCCAGATTACAAAGAAATTGACATGGCAGCGGACAAATCTGTTTAATTTCCTTTCGGATCTAGGCCGTGTGATGTGCGGGCAGGTTGGTAACAACCCTTTCAATTACTGCAGACAGGCTTGCAAAGACGCTTTCACTAACTACAGGCCTGGTGAGAACCCAAACTCAATTGGTCATACGATGTGGAGGTACACGTATGGATCGCGACACAAGTAATGCGGCTATATTCTATAATGTTACACAAGATAACCTTATGTTTCTGCAAAATAAAGTGTTCAGTATAGGCTTAACCATTTTGCGTGCTTCATGACAGCATGAGGGGCCGTGGGGTAGCCTAGTGGTTAAAGCGTTCGATCGTCACGCCGAATACCCGGATTCGATTCCCCACATGGATACAATATGTGAAGCCCATTTCTGGTGCTCCTCGCCGTGATATTGCTGGAATATTGTGACCATGGGGACTTACAGTGCCTTTTCTACCTAAATGGACCCTAGTTGGATTTACACCATCCCTTCTGATGTTAGCCCTTTTGACAATCTAGCCATAAATTAAAATAACATATATACTGCAGTTAAAAACAATAGTTTACTTATAAATTTACTTTGAAAGTTTTAGGAATTACATACCCTCTCAGGAGGACAATAATTTTACAATATGTACAATATGTGAAGCCCATTTCTGGTGTCCGCCGCTGTGATATTGCTAAAATCTGCGTAAAACTACACTCAGTCATGACAGCATGGTCTTCTGATCAAGTGAGGGTATGAGTTTAGTTCTAGCAATTTTCCACCAATAGTACGGCTTCACATAGTGTTCCCATGTCGGGAATCGAACCTGGGCCTTGAGCATGACGAGCGAACGCTTTAACCACTAGGCTACACCACCGCCACGATGTCAGATGAAACGATCTACAAATGTCCAGGTAAAGAGAACATATCAGCAAACAGATTCCAGAAAAAGGAAAGAAATATAAGGAAGAAAGGAACTCAGTTTTTATTCATTAAAGAAGACAAGTCAGTTGGAGAAGATAAGCTGATTGTCTGAGGTAGAACGTGTGTGTGCGAATATCACACAAATGATTACCAAACTACATTCCTTTTTGTACAATTTAAAACGTTTTAACAAAGAGAGCCACCAACTCTGTTATAGAATTTAATTGCAAATTTCCAGGTCGAAAATCGTCTGTCTCAAGGGATCATCCTTAGTGTTATTTCAAAGTTTACCATCTGTTAAAAGTAATTTCCCGACTGTGAAAAAGTCTCAAAATGCAAAATGTCAAAGAAAGCGAAAGAAAATCTTTAGGACACAGGAGACTAATTACTGTGGCACGAATGGGTGCCTCATATGCAAGTTATAGTTTTTCAGTTGTTGGATGGGGTTGGGCATGAGGTAGAGGTAACTTGGGTGGACAAGATTGTTATGTTTTGTGCTATGGATGTGGACTATAATTCAAGTAACAGCAGGACTTGGAGCTACTGCTTTGCATACTATACTGTGGTGTTTAAGGACATTGCAACGTCCAATATTGGTCATTGATGTGGCTGAAATGATACGAACGCTACGTTACATCCTGGATGTATGTAGCAAAGCTACTTAAGGAAGTGAAACGAACCTTATTGGGCCTACTTATCATGCCGTCACTCAGATCATCGTGTATATATATATACTTGTCTATTGTAAGGTATTAGGGTATTGAAACCTATCACTTTTTTGTCGTTTGACATGTTTTTCAAAATACATTCCACAAATATTTTAAAACGATTTCATTGCACATTCAATGCAGCAGTTAAACACTATCACAGTGCTTTCCGATTTCATTACCTCATTGTTTCATCGATAGTCTTCCTGGAGTAAATATTCGGAGGAATTCCTTTGTAACAGTGGAAAGACATATTCACAATCAAAAACACTAACTGACACTGATTTATAAACAGCCGCGTCCAAATTCAATATGCACGTTGCACGGTCTAACACAAACATTGTACTTGGGTACTGCCATGCACGTTTGTCAGAAGATGAAAGAAAGCGTGAGCTTAGGAAAATCTGAAGTTGGCACTGCTCAAGACAAAACAATCTGTTTTCGTCAAAGTGTTTTCGGTAAAGCAATCCCTTGAAGAATATGAAATATTCAGTTTGATTGCGAATACCGTTAATACATCATGACACATTTACCTAAAGCTGTATTCCTCGGTGCCTCTAGATAGAGTTAACTACAATTTCCATCTAATAGATTCGAAATCTCCACCTTTGGGTGGTTTAAACACAAATTACAGGAAGTTGCTTTTTTCAAAATCGTGTAACCGCTTGCACAATTTATAGTGATCTATTTGCTTAAACGATCGTACTACCTTGTATGAAACAACAATACTACTGTTCCCTTTCGACGATTTGTGCCACACAAAAATCTATAATAAATCCCCAAAACATGCCCTGATGAACATGAGAGTCATTAAATATGATAATTACACAGCCATAGGCCAAAATGTCATGCCTGGAGAAGCTGATAATCCCTGGTCGACTTTTCGTCCGGGGCTGATTCTACTTTTGTCTTTTCTTGCGGACTTTGCTGTTCAATCATAAAGTGTGGAGATTAAAGAGAAACTGACTTGGCAATTCCGTTTCATTTCCTGTCGGATCTGGGCCTTGTCCTGTAGACTGTGTGATGTGCGGACAGATTGGTAACAACCCTTTCAATTACTGGCCTGGCCAGAATCCAAACTCGAGAGGTCATTTCTTTATGTAGATATACATGGATGGATCACGATTAAGTAATGCTGTTATATTATTGTCTTTAGATTCTATGCAAAATAACATCGTGAGGTTTTGGTGTCCGATAAGTCGGATCGCCTTTCACCACTTGTTGGTCCCTGCCTGGCGTTCGCCATTATTAGCTAGCACTATAAGCACAGCTTAAGTCTGGGCTAGCATGCATGTCATCATATGAGCAAAATGTTTTCAAGTACGACGTCCTTCAGATTTTATTACATAATTTACCTACCTTATTACCATCAGTATTTGACATGGCTGGAATATTAGCAAGTCGAATGTATCGCCGCTTTAACAGTATTTCATTTTGATCTCAACTATCGGCTTGATGTCAAATGAGACCTCAAAGTGATGCAGATCTTACAACAGAGGTTTATTAAGTTGATAAAACTGGTATGGCGTTGACAAATTTAGAAACCTGATCAGGGTTAACCAGGTTTCTTGCAAGCCTAAAGGACAGATGGCTGCACAGGAATGAGATCCCTCTTAGATTACTATTACTCGCCTGGCATACATATAGGCCAAGATGAAAGACCCAGCAGAAGGGAACCTATCAGCATTATATACTTTCACAAAATACCACTGTAACAGTATTTACAACTTTGATAATTACCCTAAAGAACACTGTCCAATGATGTAATGGAATTTTAAGTCAGTGAATAAGACGAGATCCGTTGTTGACAGATCAATCCCTGGAGCTGTGAAAGGCGTATGTGACTGGCAAGCAATTGATAGCGAAATGAGATTCCTATCCGTACAGTTTTAGATGTTTTAATCATTCATCCGTCTGTGAGACGGAAAACCAATTTACAGGATGTAAACAACTTCTGTCTCAAGGGATCATTGAAATTGTTCTTTCAAAGTTTACAGTCTGTTAAAAGTTATTAAAATCTTTGTAAAAACAGTTTCTCAAAATGCAACATGTTCAAGAAAGCACAAGAAAACATGGTCCATAAAGGTATAAACAAGGGATTCAATCCAAAAATGATTGATCAAAATGTTCAACACTTACATGTTCTGGGTGTGTTGCTGAATTGTCGTTACCGTTCTTGAAGTAACTTTCCAAGAGGAATTATATTGCAACAACAAAAAAGACACACGCACAGAAAACATTTACCTTGATCTTTAATGAGCCATGCCACAAGGTAGCACTGTCTACATTCTGGTGACGGGCACTTTCGTCAAAAGATGAAAGGAAATGCAATGTCCTTCGTGCACACCAATTGCTGGCAAATTATCATGGATTTGATTCTTTTTCTCTAATGCCGTCACGTTGCTTTGTAGAAATCAAAGTAGGCGTCATCTTGGGACTAAACATTCTGTTTCCGCCCATGAAACACTTAGCGTCTTTGGAAAAAATAAATGTTCCTTCAAATGTTGCAAAATATGAATTGTTCGCTTTGTTCCTGAACATCTTTAAGACACTGTGACGCGTTTCCATAAAATTATCCTCTTTAATGCCTGTGGATAGATTATACTGCAATATCCTCTTTTTGGATTACAAATGTCTCCACCTTGGGGATGGCTTAAACTGAACTTACAGAGAAACTATATTAGTTTTATGTCCTCAAGTTATAATGTTAAGGAGGATCTGGCAAATGTCACCATACTGCACTTATCATCTACATTATACAAGCCTCCGATGAGTCAGAAGATTAATACAAAAAACAAAACGTTTTGGTGCATGGGTTAACTGTTTCCTATTTCCTGTATGAATTAAATGAATTATAGAAATGGACTTCGCAATATTGTTAACGATGCTTATGTATTTTACATGAGTGAGTGAGCGAGTTCAGTTTTACCCTCCACTCGGCAATATTCCAGCTATATGGTGGCGGTCTGTAAATAATCAAGTCTCGACCAGACAATCCAGTAGTCAACAGCATGAGCATCGATCTACGCAATTAGGATACGATGACATGTCTCAACCAGGTCAACGTGCCTGACCACTCGATCCCGTTAGTCAACTCTTACGACAGGCATGGGCAATTCTAACCCGGATCTTCACGGGTCGTTTTTACATGATCTTTATCTACGTTTGTTGTGTTCAATACTGTCGTATAGTAATACAATCGTCGGAATATTATGTTGCAATTGTTTGAAGTAAGTAATTTGATAAATAATCAAAGCCAGCAATTTCCTGAAAATTGCATTCCTCTCTTTGTAATCTAATTTCTCTTTTTGTCATTTTTTCTAACCATGTGAGTGATTGATGTCTTGATGAGCTCGCACCCTACCAAAGGGCTGGTAATTGGAGCTAATGTCTTAATTCCTAAATATATCATCAATATAGTCCAGATAAAAATAACGAAAAGAAGAAGTAAACCAAGAAACACTGGTATAACATCCCTTGAATACAATGCGGGAACGCAAGGGAGTAAATCACTCGATCTCAATCATGGCGCGTTAGAGATCCATTTCAGCTTCTTTTTTGGATATCGTATACTTATTGTTCCTGGAGACAGTGACGAGAGAATTCTGCAAATTGACAAACATTAAGATAGTTAGATTTGTTATGGTTTATGTCATACGTTCAAAATACTAAATAATGCGTTGGTTATACAAACATGCAAATGATTCAATAGCTTGAAACATGACCGGTTTTATTTTCAACTTGTTTACTTTAAGAAGGCCTTCGGGAGCAACAGGACGTACGACACAGCGTGGCAAGTTGCGTCGGCCCTCGTGAGTCCTTCCTGATGGCTACAGGAACTTCATCAGTCAGATCGTATCGCAACGTCGACAGGAGGGGTCTCCACAGTTGCAGGGATCATACAGAGTTATCTTGCTTTCATAACTGTTGTCTTCACAAGATGAATTAGCTCCAACCAGCCAGGACATGACCCCGTCACAGAGACCTATCGTAAAATCAATATCATGACGGATCTGTTCAGGCAAACAAGTGTTCCCGTGAAAAGATTTCTATGTCTACGAACGAGAGTTGGGTTTCGTACCATCTTAAACAGGTCAAGATTTGTCACTGCAAGCAAATGTAATTTTCCTACCACTTAATACCTCATTAAATGAAGGGAAGTATTTCTAATACGTACAACACTCTGTCAAGGTGATGACAGTAAGTAATTTATTGATTTGTTCGGTAAGGATTGGGCGTTTGGATCCGCTAGACAAGCACAATACAGAAATAGTCGGGGGGATGGCTACATGAAGATCTATGATCACGTCTTATGAAACTGATAAAAGGATTACTGTCATATATAACCTTCAAGTTCTTTACATCTTTTTGATGACGCGACTGCAAACACGAGGAACGCATGGCCAGGGGTCAGCAAGAGACTTGTCCAAGTTGCCGTGTAATAATGCTCCCTAATTCCTTTGCTATAAGTAGACATTTCTTATAATGCTGGGAATGGTTCTTTTCGCTTTGAGTTTCTTGGTTGTTAATGCCAAGGGTGATATGTGAATAATGTTGCATAACGAACGGCACCAGACACAACTGGAACCATGTGTTGACCATGTTTTGTTTATCTACGATACTAAGCATAATGAAACTGGCATGGTGATCTACTTTCAGCTGCTGGCAATCTACAGCCCGTATTTTAATTGTATTTAACTCACTCACTCACTCTCGCGAAATGTAAACTATGTCCCAACATGTCGGGAAGACAGATATTATATGAACGAGTGAGTTAGAATTTACAATCACATCGGCAATATTTCAGCCATATCGGTACTTAAACTATAAATACATGTAAATAATATAAAGCCAAGGACAGTAAAACAACTAGAATATCACAGTTATGAATATATAACTTGTATGTATATCTAAAATACTCTACAGAAGACAACACGGTATAAAAACAGGCTATAGATTGCCAACAGCTGAAGGTAGATCACCATATTTGTGACCAAAGGGATTATGTGGGCAAGGTAAACGCTAGACAATAACATTAAGAATTCCAATTTAACTTCTAATAATCTGTACATGAGAAAAAGGGGACAGACCACTCATCGCTTGGAGAGCTCCCTTCACGCACATATATCTTTCACGAATTCACGGTTATATATTGATTCAGTCATGTCTTCGGTGATGTTCTGAAAGTAAGCCAATATGAAATTGCCCGTCAACGTATTCATTCTGTTCGAGGGTGACCAGTAAAAGACGTTCAGTTGTATCGCAACTTCGATGCGGTTAATGTTTGTTTACACGGCACGGGAAATATGTGTAATAGATTTTAAGAGAGACTCTTTGGAGTGGTAACCTCCACACAATGGTAGCAGATATAGTCCGAGTTTAAGGTCTCATGATGAACATAGGTTATCTAAAGGGATAGTGTGATTTGATCGATGTGCAACCCTTTCACTCCCCACACATCACTGTCTATGTTAAACAATAGGTTTTGTGACAGTACATTAGGAATCGGAGTAATATCATAAGTTTACCTCATAACTGAAACGAACCAATTCATTCACCTCGAGTTTTACGACACAGACTTTTCTCTCAATCTTGCAGATGGATGTAATTGAAGTGTTGAGTAGTCGATAATTGTAGTACTTTGCTGAGAACAAATGCGTCGGTGTGTACACATGTATCATCGTAGAGTGTGAATAGATGAATGAATGTTGCTATATAACTACATATACTGGGTGTTGATTTGTTTGTTTAACGCCACATCAGCAATATTCCAGCTGTATGGCGGTGGTCGACCAGACAATCCTGTGATACACGTCATGAACATCGATCTGAGCATTTGGGATGCGATGATGTGACTCAACCAATGTAGGGAGGCTGACCACCCGATCGCATTTTACAGATGAATGAGTGGGTGAGCTTATTTTTACGCTGCACTCAGCAATATTCCAGCTATATGGCGGCGGTCTGTAT